ACAATTAATTAAGGTTTTAGTTCAGATGAAAAACGCCAATGGCACGAGAGGGATTCGAACCCACGACCTTCGGCTAGATACGCCGCCGCTCTACCACCTGAGCTATCGTGACCTCGATCCACTCGGACATCAACTCCCCATCTCAACCCCACCTTATGAGTTTTCCCTNCGTCGAGAATCCAAACCGATTACACGACATTTGAAAAATGGCAAAAGGAGGGAAAACTCATAAGGTGGGGTTGAGATGGGGAGTTGATGTCCGAGTGGGTCGAGGTCACGATAGCTCAGGTGGTAGAGCAGCGGCGTATCTAGCCGAAAGTCGTGGGTTCGAATCCCTCTCGTGCCATTGGCTTTTTTCATCTCAACTAAAAACCTTATTTAATTTTATATAATTTTTTGATATCAAGACCACCACCACTATGGTGGTCATCGGAAGATCAGACTAGTAGAAGAAAGATCTTCTTCACCGCTGTGCAGAGAAAGGTTGCTCGCTGTGTCTCATCGAATTGAAGGCTTGGCTCCATATAGGGAACGCGTAGGAAGGTCACCCGATGATAGGAGAATTGTGCTTGAGCATGGAATATCTGAGATTCCTGTTCCGGTTCTTGGAGGAAAAAGTGTTGTTTCTATTTGATATAGAGAAGTGTCCTTAGAATGTGATGAGCGTGATGTATTTATTTGCGTGAATGTGTAGTGTGAGGGGACCAATGCGGAATATAGAGTAGGATTAGTAAGGTATTTTAGATTTTTAATTAACATTTCAGTATCGCATATTTCCTCCTCTTGCTTTAATTTCATCTCGAAGACGCCGCGGCATACTTTCTACTAGTCTGGAAATGTCTGACTGCTGGAGGGTAGCCCATTTTTCAAAAAGTATCCTTTCAAGATCGTGGAGTGTATCAGGAAGTTATGGGCGTGCTCTTATTCGTCTTTTGGGGTTATCCCATAATAGTTCGATCGGGAAAATGAAAAAAAAAAAATTTATTGGGTGGAATTTTTTGCCTGTCCTAAGTTTAAGCAGATAAAGTAAAGTATTTGGATATTTGCGATTTATGCTTACACGTAAAATAATTCCTTACATATAAATAATACATAATAATAAAATACATATTAGAAACCTTAAACTCTTTACTTCATTTGGGAAGTGTTGCAACAAATCATACCCCTTTACGTGTTTTATTTAAGCAATCGATTTCGGGAGTATCCGCCTACCCTCATCAGTGTTGAATTTCAAAAATGTACACGTTTACATATTATTTTACACAACCATTTCTTTTTACAGTCAAATGTCTATAAAATATAATTTAATTATGTTAAGAATTTCTTGGTCACACACCTTGTTTCTGATCCAGAAACAAATAAAGAGGCAGGTTCTGCCTAGGTTACATATGTGCAATGCGTGTGTATGTTAAGGTGTTTTTTTATTTAATTCAACTAGTTTTCGTTGTCCGCTTGACCAATTAATATCTTCCTATTAATTAAGGTTTTTAGTTGAGATAAAAAGTCAGTGTCTCGAGCGGGATTCGAACCCAGACCTTCGGCTAGATACGCCGCTGCTCTACCACTAGAGCTATCGTGACCTCAATCCATAATAAACCTTAATTAATTGAAAGATATTAATTGGTCAAGCGGACCACGAAAATAAGTGAATTTAATTTGTTAAATGAAGTATATCTTCACTAAATCTCTCCGTGGCCATTTCATTTATCGCCGAGAATCAATTAGAGGGAAAATTAAAAAAAGGTAGGGATAAAATGGGAAGTAAGTGCCCGAGGGGATCGGAGTCACGTTAGCTCAAGTAGCGGCGTATCTAGCCGAAGGTGGTGGGTTCGAATCCCGCTCGTGGCACTGACTTTTTTATTTCAACTAAAAAACTTTAATTAATTGAAATGTTTTTATTTAATGTTAAAGTTTTTTTATTTTATGTTAAGGTTTTTTAGTGTTTCCTTTGCAAATGAATAGTTCTTTTTAAATTTTATAATTATTAGTCGGTAGTATATAAGGATGGAGTTTGAAACATCTATATCACACTTTTGTACATATTTACATTTATTTGTACATAAATTATTCTTATTCTTATTGTTGGGGGGAAGGGCGGATCTTAATTGACCCTGCAAACTTCCGTACCCGTTTCAAGAGGTACAATTAAATTTTGTTTTGTTTTTTGAATATTTTAAATAAGGTGGCAACTATGTATTATTCTTAAGAGGTTTTGGGAAAAAGAAAGGGGAGATTGATAATAGTTTAAAGTAAAAATTGGATATTTACAATTTATTTTACTAAGCAAAAAATTAAAAGAAATTTCTTTAATTATCCAAAATAATTCATAAGCAAACCTACTAGCCAGGGTTTTAAAAAACAAAAGACAAAAAAAAACAACTGAAAGGTACTTGGGGGGATGACTCCTCGCTTTTCCCAGCAATCGAAATAAGCGGTGTTGAGATGGAGGTTACTGCTGGGTTTCACTTCGACGAAGGTGCCTGTAGAGCCGGATGACGAAACAGTTGACGTAGTCCGTAAGGTCGGTGATGTGACGACAAGGGTGTTGATCAGAAGAAATCGATGGTGAAGGTTCAAAGAAAATCGATATTGGGTTCGATAATCGATTCGGTAAAGGTGCGTCTTGTGCTGACCCAGGCAAGCGAGAGACTAATTTACTCCCGTGCAAAGGCCGTTATCGGTTGCCAAAATAAAAAAATAGGGCCCTCAGCGATTTAAACAGGGCCTCCCGAGGCGAACCTTGGTCAGACGAAAGCAAAAAAAAAAAAAATGAAGCTTCTTGGGCGTCAACACTTATGTATGACGTTATTTGCATCTATGCATTTTTTAAAAATTTTATTAATTTTTTGGTTTGTATTTTATACTTACCTTTACATTTTTAGTTTATTCAATTTTGAGGCAAGGTATGGTTTGCAGCTTAGAGAATTCATATTGTCTTCTTTTCTTGTCAACATGTCCTCTCCGAGTGCCCAAGGACTCATGGCTGGGTCAGGTCATTGTTGTCACTGACTTCTGCCAAGGATTTCATACAATTATGCTCTTTGGCCTTATCTATCATGAGGATAAGGCCTTAAATGCCGCCTGTCAGATAAACCGGCTATCCTCCTGGAATATGTTCTTAGTCTTTTTATTTCTCTAAGTGTTTAATTGCTATGATTTTAGACTGGAAAACTGTAGCATATATACTTAAGAATGAAGGCAGTTCAGTCTTAGGATTCACACCGAGGACTCCAGATGACGTGACTCCATCGGTTTTGGAGCAGCATACCATAGGAATTGGTCTTCAGAACTGGAAGACTTTCTTTACCTTGTAGTTGTTGGTGATGTTTTATGTTAGAGTACTGGCATCGATTTTCATGCCTAATATGACATCTGCCTCCATCCCTTCTCTAACAAGACCTCCAAGACCACAATTCTCATGAGGACCTATAAGCTGGTGGAACACGGCGGATGTCGAACATAAAATATTTTCTTGAAAAATCTAGGTATCCGAAGTTGAAAATTTCGAAGAATTTTATTATAAATACATTTGAGGACTCTTAAGTTTTTGTTAATTTATTTCTTTAAAAAAGTGTACTCTTTCTTAGCAATACCTGGGGGTCATGTTTGAATTGAAAGGGACAAAAATTTCAATGAAATATTGAATATTTGGTTATTTATTTGTAAACTGACTTAAAATACTAAATTTTAATAGATTACACGAAATAACTTTTAATGTTAAATTAATATAATTATTTATTAATGTTTTAATTTGTTTAATTAGTCGGACAGCAGTAAGACTGTTTGATAAAGATTACCCAGCATTAAAAAGGGGATGAATTCTTTTGATGTCGTTCGCTCGGAAACTCGTCACATAAATGCAAATTCGAATTAACATATTTCATTTGGGCTAATTGCAATTGCTGAAGAATTGTTTATGGCTCGTTTTAAAATTCAATAAAATATAAAAACCGTCCTTGGAAAGGGTAACGGCGAGAAGTTGGAAGGGCGTTCGGAGGCGTCTTTTAAATAATAATTTCGTCCTCATTCCGGGGCCGGCCGCGATGAATATAAACCACCGGGTGGAAAATATATTAAATATAATTTATTCATGTATTTCAATTCGAGTCACGCATGGTTTGTCGCGGTCGGTGCCCGATTTCCCGAGGCCCTAGGCCGGCCGGTGCGGGACCGTCTGACATCGCTTGGTTTATGAAAATTATCAGAAAATTAATTTGAAAGTATGTACTTTAAAGGTGGAACGTTTGACCTCTTGTTGAGCTATTTTAAGTGATATCTTTTTCCCGCATTCTTGATTGACTTTTGTTTGTTCTATTTCAAAAGTAATAATTTTTTGGAGTTGTGAGAAGCGGTCAAGTAAATTCAAGTCACGACTCCAACAAATTATTATCAAACCTATCATTTAAAAAGTGAAAATTAATATTTGACAAGCTAGCTAAAAGCTCAGGCTTCATTAAAACAATCTACTTTTCATTTTATCTACCCATTCGACAGAAAAAGCATACCTCCTTCTAAAAAAACGAAATCAAGGTTCATGTGGATGATGTTTATAACTTTACTCTCATTTTGATCAATTACCTATGAACAAAAATTAAAATCATTCAAGGAAAAGGTATCTCGTTTATAATCAAACGTTTGTGGGCACTCTCAATACGACACGCAAGAATGGCACAATTACACAGAAGACAAACACTTTGAGCCCTGAAGATGATCTCAATAAAGGTCGAAACGTTGGCACGATAAAGAAAATGTTTTTCTGAAACCTACATCGCACCAGACCGCATCGCACGATTTCTGAATAATTGTGTTTATATGTAAGGCATTGGTTGAAATGAAAAAGTTACTGTCACGAGCGAGATTCGAACACACCACCTTCGATTTTCTGATGGAAAGAAGTTATTTGATCAATCGGACCATGAAATATAATAGATTGTTTTTATATTTGCCTGAAAATATGATTTATTATAAATTCATATTTTAACTGATTGTATTTGTTTCAGGTCCAGATGGAAATGTGCAGGGTGAGTAAAATAACTTTTTTTATTATAAATTAGAAACAAAAAAGTGTATTTTTGGGGGGTGTCAAATTGGAAACAACCCTCTGGGGTGTATTATTTTTTAAAGACATTAGTCAGCAGAAGTCCTTTCGAGGAGGGTAAAAAACGTTTTTGGAAGGGGCTCTGAAGTGCCTATCGATTGCGTTTTATTTAGAGGGCCCGAAGAAAAAAAGGCAGTAGGCTCATCCTATCGTCAAATCTCATCCTTTAATTTATTTTTCTCATTAAACCTGCGCGAAAAGGGCGGAAGGTTTGTTTGGCCTGGGGCGAGGAACGGTTGCTTTCCAGGGATAAACTTTTCCGCTTGGGGACGTGAAAAAGTTGGACGCTAAATCAAATCCAAAAAAAAAGAGAAAAATATGGGAAAAAGAATGCGAAATTAAATAGCATACGGCCCACCACCCCATGCCTCATCATTTGACAATTCGATATTAAATTAAGTTTGAAATCAGATCCATTTTTCAAAAAAATTTGTCAGAAAAAATGCTCATTGTTTTTGTATTACGATTCATCATGCAACATTTTCGACTTCTTCCAGTATTTATGACTTTGTTCTTTGTTCAAAAACGCAAACGTTGAAAGAAACAAATTAGACCTGAAAAAAGCAGAACAGCTAAAATTTAAGGTAAACTTATTGAATGATGAAGAACGATTTCAATGAGTGTTTTTCAAAAATCCTCTGGACAAACTTTGAATTTGTCGAATGTGTGTAAAACGAATGTGCTCTCTTCAATGGTTAAGCATGGTGTACTACAGGGCGCATTCCTTAGTCCCGTCTTTTTTTCGAGAATGATTCGCTTTGTTCTCGAATTATTTAAAAGAGGAATTGTACTGTAATACATACAATTATTGCACTTTAATATAACTGTGACTTTTTTATGTTAAAACTTTGTCTTGTTTAAGTGACTAAGTTAATTATTTATTATTAGAAAAAATGTCAAATATAGTCATTGGTTAAATAATTAGTTAATAAAGATTTTTTAAATTCCTGTCAATAATTTTAAGTTAATAATTTATTATGAAAGAAAAACTGTTACAAATGGCCATGGGTTGAATAATTTATCTTACAAAAGCCTACACACTGAAATAATAATATATTATTTGATAAAAACAAATGATGTTATTGGAAAAAAATCTTTTAAGTTTCTATCATTAAAAAAATTATTATGAGACAAAAACTGACAAATGTGATCATTTGTCGAATAATTTATCATAAAAAAAACTTTGCACTGCAATAATAATTTTTATTAGACAATAGCGAAATCCATTTTTGTTTAAAATTATCAAAATATTTTTTGAAGTAAAGTAGTTAAATGTTAAATATTTTGGTTAGACCAATCATCAATTGAATTGATAGGTGATTGTTTTATAAATTTATATTTATTAAAATATTTTGAGGTGATAAAAATTTTGTCAAAAGTCCTTCCTGGAAATTTTGATTGTCATATGTTATTATTTTATTATTCGAGTATAATCGAAAATAAATCCAACGACCACAGCCGGTGGATTTCGAGGTTTAAACAATGCCAGTGGAACTCACTAATACGGGCGTTAACGAGAATCTGTTTAAAAGGGGTGACTGGGACCAACCCTCGTAGGTCCAAATGGGGCAAACCGCTCAAATTTTACTTTCCATTTTCTCCTTACCGCAGTTGGGAATTTCCCCTTTAACACCCTTCATCCCATCCCTAGAAAAGTGGATTTAGATGGTTAAATATATTTTTCTTTCTCAATTAAACTAAAGCCAAGGATTTCGGAAAATTCTGCCTGTAGAAAATCTCCTTCGGATATGGGTTTAACAATAATATATTATTTATCAAGTTTTTTCTTATATTCTGTATATATATATATTGAAAAGTGGCAAAAAGGAGGGAAAACTCAAAAGGTGGGGTTGAGATGGGAAGTTTGTGTTTGAGTGGATCGAGGTCACGATACCTCAAGTGGTAGAGCAGCGGCGTATCTAGCCGAAGATCGTGGGTTCGAATCCCGCTCGTGCCATTAACTTTTTTATCTCAACTAAAAACCTTAATTAATTGTTATATATATATAAGTGTCGAAAATTTCAAGAGATGTTTCTACTCACCATGTGCAACAAAAGACTTCCTCTAAACCCCTCTCCAAAGAAGTAATTTCAGTTTTTTAAAAATGTTTTTGACTTAGATCCACTAAATTGTTTACAAACTTCAAAATTACTGACTGTAGAAAAATCTGGTTTTTTGATGAACCAGCTGAAAGAACGTTAAATTTGCTGTAAAGAAACCTATTTACATTTCAGAATTGATGAAAAAATTCTGCACGATAAATTCAGAAAAAAGAAAAATGTTGAAATTTTTTAAAATATTGGATTGGTAACTGTTTGTTAATAACTATAAACTCCTGGAGCTTTACAAATTCTCTCAAAATTTCTCCATTCAATTATCTTCCAGCGGTATACCTACCTTTTTGGAAGAACCATTTTGGAAGAACCATTTTGCAATTCGTTGAAAAAAAAAACTCGTGTTGATGAAGCATGTTAAATTTTCCAGGAAGTCCTTCTGGATCTTGAGTTTCGTGGCATTTCTTTAATGTTCAATTCAATCAGTTACGTTATCAGCCCATAACTTTCTCAGGTTGGTGATTTAAATTATGTGCTTGTTCCCATCTTACTGATTTGTGCATTTCATTTACGGTAATGCTACTGCTTCAAGGGCTACCCAGCTCGGTTTCCACATTGAGACGTTCCGGCAGATCGCACCTTCCAACAACTTCATCAGTGACTGGGAAACTGGTTCTTTCACTTAAAGAACGAGGGAAGACTATCAGTGAATCGATGTAGATGAGGAAAACTTGCATTCTGTTGATCGTGATCCCGAAACGTACACGTGCGTTATGTATAGACCGTGGTTTTGCACAATGGATAGGTTTGGATAATTTCCGTTGGGAAGGATTGTACTTTTATCATTTTACGAGGGTGATTCATGTCGATGAGGAAAAAATCAACTCACTGATGGTGGCCATTTCGTTCCAAACTTTGCACCGTGTACTTTAAAAAACAATTTTTATGCGTGATACCAAGAAAAACATGAAAAAAAACGTTTTGCAGGTGAGGCGATAGAACCTCTCATTTAAGATACATGTTGACCAAAGATAAATTTTAACTTTATTGCAAGTTAAATATGGAAATAAGAAAAAGGAACGACAAGCGATGTTTGCTTTACGAACCATTCACGCTAATAAATAGTCTAGGTTTTTGATTTTCAAAGAAATCGTCTAGAACACGTTCGGTGAACGTGATATCAATAGGTGGTTTACCGAACCCCACATGAGGAGATTCGATTTAAAAAAGCCTGTCGAAATTGGCGCCGAGGTGACAGGAAAAGGCGCGAATGTATGCCCTGTTGTCAATTCATTAAATAAATATTTATATATTTTTTCATCCCTTAGACAATATTTTTCTTTCTGGTAAAACGTTCGAACCCCGCGGGATTTGATATTTTTGGGCCCTCGAGCCAAAGGATATTACTTGGCGTTTCTTGAATCGTTATGCCTAAATCTGCCTTAGAATTCCGACTGGAATTAAGGTTTTTCTATTTTTTATTTAAATCTGTCTCGTTACAAAAGTTAACGCCGAAATATGCTGTATTTTCAATTTCCCACGGTTCACATCTTACCAACAATTATCTTTCATACACGTCGACAGGTAATATTTGCTAGCAAGAAAATGACTTACGTTCATATTAAAAATAAAAATAGTCATTTTTTATTCAGTCTTTTTTCTCAGCTACCTTGACGTGAAGGAACCAGTACTTTTCATCCTGGAAATTGCCATCTTCCCCCTCCAAAAAACAAAAAACAAAAACAAACAACTATTTGCTGGCTACAATTACACAAAGAAATGTCCATCAAGTAGAAAAATGTTAAAATAAAATACCTACCTCGTAAACTTCATTTACCACCTCTATCTTGACAATATGCAATAAAAATAAAACCTTTCCGAAAGAATTCGTAGAATGAATAAATTGCTAATTTATTCGTAGTTATTTCCCCCCCGGGGCCTAATAATTATAGCCTGTACAAAGTAATTCAGGCAAAGATTCTAAATGAATAGTCCATGATTTACCACCCAGCTCGTTATAATGTAAAACAAAAGGAACAAATGAATTAACAGCCCAGTTGCCAATTAAGAGATAGAATAATAATTTTTACCGGCGACTGTGCAATAAAACAAGCAATCCAAGTTTTGATTTATGTATAACGTTAACCAACTCTCTATTTTTTATCCCATTGCTAGCCTCTCGGTAAATAATAAATAAATAAAAAGTAACACAAATCACCAACACAACTCCGCGGAAACAAGATAAAACCATGACACTACCCCAGAGTAGTGTGAATGCTAATTTTTTTATTATATAATATATAAATTATATTTATCGAGGTTATTGGGATGCGCTCCTTCTTTCATGCTAATAAAATACATACACAGTAAAAATGATGAAAATGGTTATGGACGGTTAAAAGTGATTTAAGGGCCCGACAGTCCGATGCATCGAAAAATTCACAACCCTCCCGATGTAATGTTCATTTCAATACCAATCGTTTATTCAAATAGGATTTATTAAGTATATGAGTAGTTTTTCATCTTGTCTATAATTTTTTCTTAAATTGCATAAATGTTTCTTATGTTTACCATTACACTGGCATGATGATAAACATTTTCGTTTTATGTAAACACGTTTTCACATATTTGCAGAGTTATGGAAAGTTAAAGTATTTAGCAAACTAAAAACAAGTGGTTTGATTGTTTTAAGATTAAAATGGTTGCGATCACGGCGCTCAACGATACAGTCACGCAAAACAAACATGTCTTGCGGAACTGTATCGTCGAGCGCCGTTTATAGCTAACAAACATTAAAATAATGCAAATTTGTTTTTTAAAAATTATTTTAGTAAATAAACGAATTACAAAAATTGTAGTGTTTTATTGT